TTTCATGTTTACTACCCGGGTTATATAGTTCTTATTTTATGCTTGGGCAGTCAGCTATTACCCGTGACTCTTGCAGACTGCGCTAAATTACAAAGTGGATTAAAAATAGAACTCAATTGAAGGTGGTGTCTTTTTTTTTTTGACGAAATATATCCTTGAGTAAGCCGTTTCCATACATTCTTACGAAAACGATTGACACACTTGCAGTAAAAAGCCAGCATTACGTATCATAACTATTTTGCGCCGAAATTGTTGAAACATGTGAAAGCATATCTTCGTTAGGAGAAGGGTCGTCAATCTACGTTCCCAAGTTTAATTGATCCCTAACATCTCAAGCGCATGTGTACTCCAATGCAATTAGATTCTAGTTTTTCATGTAAGATCGTGAACTTTCAATCTCTTTGCGAGCAGATATTGAGTAGTTACGCAACCATAGGGTTACGGGTCCTTGCCCTCCTTCATGTAAACAGTCTAACGCCGAAGGAAAAATCTTATGAAAATCTTTGAGCATGACGAACTTTCGATCACCTCTTTGTAAACGGGCTTTCCTGAAATAATTTTATCTTTTTCTTTTATAAGCGTTTTTGTACGCGTTCTCTAACTCAGATGAAACTATTTGTTATAACGGCAATCTCCTGGTTTCTAACAAATTGGCGACAACATACAATGTAATACAACTGTTTTTTTAGGATATGGGTTATCATCGACAGTTATTTTTGCATCACGCTTTAGTGAGAAAGTTAATGACAATGTTTTTTCCAAACGTAAGCGCTTTCGTTTTCTTTCAGCGGACCCTTCGTCAACGTGTTTCATAGTTGCATCTCGCTGAGGTCGGGTGTTACTTGGCTACGCATCAGCAGTCCGCGGAACCCGCAGAACCTGTGGAACCCGTGGAACCTGTGGAACCCGTGGAACCTGTGGAACCCGTGGAACCCGTGGAACCTGTGGAACCCGTGGAACCTGTGGAACCCGTGGAACCTGTGGAACCCATGGAACCTGTGGAACCCGTGGAACCTGTGGAACCTGTGGAACCTGTGGAACCTGTGGAACCTAAGGAACCTGCGAAACCCTATATTTTTTGTCAAAGAATAGTAATGAAATGATTTATAAAACTAAAAAGTCCGCTATTTAAGAGGTCGTTTTCGTGTATAAAGAAGATTACTTTAAAAGAAAAATATGTTTTTATTGCCCTTGACTTTCGGCAACTTAAACAATAATCGAACAATAATTTGAAAGCTTACGTGTTAATTTCGTGCGAGTGTTTATACTTTCGTTAGTTGTATCGTCGAGTAATTTGTCAGGTTTTGTGTATAAATTTAATCTTGTGGATCAGTTTTTATGTTCACTTTTTAAGAAGCAGCGTCGTCGCTTTTTGCCTGTAAAGTTATACACCGTTAAGGTAAATATTATTGTGAGTTTATTTGTAAGTTTCCGTTCTCTAATATGCATTTTCCTACTCATGTTTAGTACCGTAGGCCTTTGATGGTTTTAAATAAATGATGAACACAAATACGCTTGACCACGGTTACATGCCTGTAGAATTTCGGGGTGATCGGGGCGTCCGGACTCGCGAACTCACAGCGTATTGCTTCGAGTGGATTCGTTTGGTTTGCATTACTCACAGACATATCTCGGAAAAGATTATGTAGAGGGCTGAGCAGCTGAACTAAAACCGAGCTAAGTTTCCCTAAAATCAGCCTAAACGATTCACACGATGCGAGAGAACAACCACTTTAGTGGGGACCATTTATCCTTATTTAAAACTAGACCAGACATTTTGAAGATTAAGAGCGCGAATGTTCCTTTCCATTCGAATCCTTACATTTCACCCAATGCGCAACGTGAAAGAATTTGCATATTCACAGATTTTCCGG